CTTATTATGATGAAAATATCTATATTAGTCAGAAGGAACAACAACAAACACCTTTCCAATCTGGCGGCTTAACACAGAGGTCTAACTCTCATTTATATGTGAACAGGAAGCTCTGGTCCACAGGGTTATTAAGAACCTAGCTGGGCGGTGGTGGCTCATGCCTTTAATCCCAGCACTCGGGAGGCAGAGGCAGGCGGATCTCTGTGAGTTCGAGGCCAGCCTGGACTACCAAGTGAGTTCCAGGAAAGGCGCAAAGCTACACAGAGAAACCCTGTCTTGAAAAAAAACCAAAAAAAAAAAAAAAAAAAAAAAAAAGAACCTGACATCTGTCCACAGCTGCCACATCTGGGAATGGAAAAACCTAAAAAGCCCATTCTGCTTTTTTTTGCCCAGAAGTGACACTATTCATTGACTAGAAGTCATATAGATGTACTGATGTCAAACAGACAGGAAACATGATGAGTACAGAGACACTCAGAAAGTATGTTTTGGCCACAATCCTCAGCCCCGCAAAGAGGCAAGAGGCTCTGGATGACTCGCACGCCTTTATCCTCATCCTTGCACCATGGAGCAAGCCGCCCTGGTTTAGACTCCCAGCTCAGCCCAATGCTACTTGTGTGACTGAGCAAGTCATTCTATCCTCCATTTCTACACCTGTCAAGTGGAGAGTCCAACGTCCACCTCTGCACAGGTTCAAGAGACACTTTGTAATTGTCACCGGGAGGGCACAAAATAGCTAACGCAGCAATTCCCCCCCAACAGTTCTGATATGGCAGACTGTCTCAAAGACTATGGTGACATTTTCCAAAGGCATCATGACCAAGATTATCGTAAATTACCTTTGCTTATAAATTCTCTGTAAGTCATTCAAAATAAGATGAATACCGACACCATTCTTGGTATAATGGGAGGTGTGGTTTCCTTCTATTGTGTAACTTTCTTTTCCTTTTGTGATACCGTCCCCCACTCCAGCACCCGAGCGTTAGACCAGCCTGGGTGTGAATCCCAGTTTAGTCACCCTCTTTAGTTAGCAAGTGTTCTGGCCCAAGTGTCCTCATCTTTTTTTGTGCTGAGATTGATTCAAGGCTTCTTAACATCGGGACAGTCATGACTGTTTCACAGGGTTTGCTACAAGATTAAAAAATAATTGGGATCAAGTCCCCAGCACAGTACAGTGTAACTGTCTATCCTTGGATCCATTCTAATGAGCATTCCTGAGTCTGGTGTGAGAGCTTTGCCACAGAAACCCCACTGAGTTGGTGAAAGTTCAAGTGAACACCAGGTTAGGACCTATGTGTCCGGAAATGGCTTTCATTAGCACGAGAGGACTCATCTACTCCTAGACATCAAAGATCAAAGCAAACAAACAACAAAAATATTCAATTAGGAGACTGAGGCACATGAGTACACACTTCTGACTTCTTCTAAAGACTCAATTCTGTTGCCAGTGGTCAAAATTAGCTACTAGCATACCGATGAGCTCTCTGAGGATGCCAACAATCCTTATCACTCCATAACGGGAGTGAGTGAAGGGGTAAAGCTGGCAGGGAGGGGAAGCCATCTTAAATATTCAGCCAAACACTAATGATTATATTGGGTGTTTTTGCTGCTCCTTTTATTTTTAATTTTTTTTATTCTTTGAGAATTTCATATAGTTTATTTTTGTCATATTGTTTCCCACCCCCACCCCCAACACTATTCTTTTTGGGTTTGGGTAGTTGTTATTTGACACAGGATCTCATCTAGCCCAGGCTACCCTCAAACTTACTATGTAGCTGAAGTTGACCTTGAACTCCTGATAGTCCTGCCTTCACCTCTCAAGGGCTGGAATACAGGCATTTGCTACCCTGGCTTATATTGTTAACCCCTAAAAGAGAGCAGAGTTTAAATAAAGTACCATTTTCTTTGCTTTTAGGTGGAATTATCGATATTGACTGGGTAATTGGATTATCCTAATGCAAATTCAGCCTAACAAGTAAATATTATTGGTAAGTGTTTCTAAAATTAGGAGGACAGATTACTACATTAAGTAGAATCTGCTTGATAGATTACTTCTGGCAAAAACATGGTAGAGTAAAGGATAAAGGTTAGTGGTAGAGCACTTGTCCTGGGTTTGATCCTTAGCACTAGGGAGGAAGAAAAGGAGGAAAAAAAAAAAAGGAGGGGCTAGAGAGATGGCTGGTCAGTTAAAGGCACAAACTGTTCTTGCAGAGGACCTAAGTTTAGTTTCCAAGACCCATGGTCAGGTGGCTCACAACCAGCTTCAGGGGATCTGATGCCCTCTTCTGGCCTCCATGGGCATTACACTCACATGGACACACACACACACACACACACACACACACACACACACACACACACACACAATTAAAATAAAAATAAAATCCTTAAAAAAAAGAATGAAGTTCAAAAAGAAGAAAAATAACAATGAAAGGAGTCCTCATTAATGGAAAGACTGAGAAAGGACCAACTGTCTCTGTCCTTTCTGCTAGAACTTGACCTCAAGTCAAAACTAGAAGTCCAAGTGTCAAGATTTCGTTATCTCAGAGTAGGTAGAGAAAACCCTGGGGAAGAGGCAACAAATGGGATCTGTTTCCGACGCCTGTAATTTCTTATCCTTAGCAGGCTCACTTTGATTTTAATTGGAGACCTAGTATTAATACTGACTTTGTTTTCTCTGAACCAAAAAGCAAAATGAAATGCAATGTCCATTTATGATATTGCTGTGTGTGTGTAGTTCACGGTCTGTGCCAATGTACAAGGCCACTGTATTGTATATGGGTGAAGAAACTCTCTCCTGATGACCTGCAATTCTCAAGGATTGTTATATGTACTAGAACATATTGTGATTCATAATTTTGCTAGGTGGGGCAAAGGTATTACCTTTTCAGTCCTTGTCAGCGCTTTACCTAAAGTATGTGGGCATCAGAATTGCCAAGCTAATGTAGACGCATTAAAGCTCTCTTAATCCAGCCCCCTCATTTTCCAAACGCCCAGGGAAGGGAAAAGGACTGCCCAAGACAGCACAGCCAACACCAGAGCCAGGATTCTCCCTTCTACCTCCGTTTCTATATGTACATCTTTACTTCCTTTGCCTTTCAAAACAAACTGCCACAAGCTGTCATTGCCTGAGATCTGGTTTGTCTTTATACGTTCTAGGCTTCCACCTAATCATCCAAGCATTTTGACTTATCCACAGTCCTCCTACTTTACCCTTGTAGCATCTTACCAGGGCTTCCGGATTCTACTTGGAGAAATCCTACATGAAGCCAGATCATCTTTCCACCCACCCATCTCCTCTCTCCCCATCCCCTTTCTAGCATATTTATTACACTAAACACATTCTGAAGAGGGGAGAGAGGCTGAGTCTCTTGTCTAGGATGTAAAGAGAACGAGATTTAACTCCAAGTACTTAAAAACACAGAGAAAAAAAAAAACAGAAAAGAAATTTCGTTCAAGTTAGAAGGGGATTGCTGTGAACATACTAAAGATGGGCCTGGCTAGTGCTGTCTCTTGCCCAGCTCACTCTAGTTGTATGGGAGAGGAGATTAATTCTTATGAGGAAAAAAAATCAGCAAGGCAAAGAATGGATGCAGAGGGAGTCAATGATGAATGATAAGTGAGCTGCAATTTAAAGTTGATCTATAGGGCTTGAGTACAGGCTGAGTCATAATGCATACAGAAAGGTCTATGCAAATGATGATGGGAAAAGAGGTGAAGGATACTTGCAAGAGGCACCATCCAGCCACCCTGCCCTTTGTACATTCCATGCCACCCATCAGTTTTACGACAGTGTCAGCCGTGTTGAGATAAGAAAAACAAGGACATATGCTAAAAATTCCATGATACTAAATTTATTCCATTTGAAAGAATATCTTACAGTCTGAGATTAGATCCTTCCTTCTTTAGTCCCAAGACATTAATGAGACTGCAAGCAGGAGATAATTTACATCTTTATGTGCTCCCTGGCAACTTAGGAATGTCATCATTCGATAATGTTTTCTACTTTGATTTTTTTTTTTTTTTTGCTACTGCATTGATTTGGAAAACCCCAATGTCAGTTAGTCTCCTATCTAGAAAAATATGTCAGATAGTAAGTAGTTACTAATCTATCAGGAATAAATCACAATTAATTAACATGTACTTCAAGGAACTTAACAGAATCTTTTCATTACAAAACCTTGTGCATAAAATAGTTCCATAAGTAGATGGAATTAGTCATAACAACTACTGTTTAGTAATTAACAATTAAATACTTCTTCATAACCTCTGACAATTTGATCGGAGTGAATTGAAAAGTAGCAATAAATACAGATGACATTACACAAATTGAGGTGGTCCTGATGCAAAAACTCGGCATGTGTTAGGTGGCGGCTCAGCTTTCTCATCTGAAATGAATCAAGAAATTCATTTGAACCATGATTGTAGTAATAAGGAAAAAAGATTCAAAACAAAATCCGTCCTCTCAGGCAGAATGCTTTTGTTTCTTCCCCACTGCCCACTTGCCATGTGTGAACAAAAGGAGCAGTCCCCAGAGGTCACAGCATGGAGGATGAGGCCAAGTGCCCTGGCCTTGCTGTGAGGATAGGAGCTGTGGCTCCTTCCGGGACAAGCTCCCTCAGTTGCTTGTGTGGCAAGGCAGTTGTGCAAGCCTTGGCCAAACCTGCTTAGAGAGCAGGCAGAAAGCCCCAAGGTGTTCCTGCTTCAGGCAACCTTCCCAATGCTTCCTCTAAAGTGGAGGCAGGGTCCTCCCCCCCATCGTCGTCCCCCCCCCCCCCCCCCCCCCCCCCCCCCCCCCCCCCCCCCCCCCCCCCCCCCCCCCCCCCCCCCCCCCCCCCGTCGTCCGTGTCGCCCCCCCCCCCTCCCGTCTAGTCTCCTCTGGACCCCTTTCATCTTCCAGCACCTGCAGTCTCTGGAGAAGGATGCCTGGGATGGGCTGATGATGTAAGCCCCTGCTGCCCCTACCACCCCCACTCCCACCCCTACCCCTGCCGGAGTACTTACAGAGCTGTGTCTGTATTCCGGTCTGTCTTCTTCATGCAGAGCTAAAAAGGCAAGCACAAACTCAGGGGTTTGCCTCCTTTTCGAAGGTCAGGAGGGAACATGTTGAATGCATCAGCATGACAACGGGTGCTGCGGAACTACAAGGCAGCCATCTCTGTGTGGGTGCAGGTCTCTTGGACCACATGGATAGATTTTATTGAGCGTTGAGAAGATATAGATCTTAATCAGAACATTTCTAAGGTTCACAGTTAGGTCTTCATTATGTAAATATTAAAAAAAATCTGTGTGTGTGTGTGTGTGTGTGTACACATACATGGTGAGGGAGTATCATGCCGTAGTGCATATATGGAGGACAGAAGAGAACTTGCAGATGTTCATTCTTTTCCTCATATGAGCTTTGGGAATTGAACTCAGATCATCGAGCTTGGCCGCAAGTATCCTTACCCACTAAACCATCTTCTCTATCTAGTTTGTTTCTCTCTCTCTCTCTCTCTCTCTCTCTCTCTCTCTCTCTCTCTCTCTCTCCCCTCCCTTCCCCCCCTCCCTTCCTTTCTTTCTTTGGAAAACATGTTTTGGACTGGAATCGAGGGTGGGGCGAATCTCTTCTTGGGAAACACTGTTGCCCTGAATCAGATCAAGTTACTGTTGCACAGAGAATGGCACTTGCTGACTGACGAGTTCAGCCTAGGGCATTCTGTCTCTCTTTAGAGGTTTTCTGCCACATGTGCCCTCTTTGGCCCTGAGAGATCTGGCAGAGTCAAATGCATGGCATTAACCTAAGCACGCACATGTTCTGAATCGCAGTAAACAATGATGTCAACACTTGGACAAGTCAAACTGCAGCCCACAGCAGTGGAGCGTGTGGCTGTACTCAAGAGCAGGGCATGCAGCCTGTTCCTCCCTGCGTTTGTTTATTGTACCAAGGGCACCATAGCAACAATGCAAGGGCAAATTATTGATTGGGGCTTTTGTTTTTGAAACAAGATTTGACTATGCAGCCCTGGTTGGACTTACATCCCAGATCTTCCCGCCTCTCCCTCCCCAGCACTGGGAAGACAGGTGTGCATTGCCACCCACACCTGTCAGGAGAAATTTGAAAGGAAGAAAAACCGACTTCAAAGCCCGCGCCTATGACACCATAGGTATTTCCACTCAGGCTTCTTGTAAAGCTATACACAGGATAGATGCTAGAGCCTTGCATGTGCAGGACACAGTCTACCACTGAGCCGTAGCCCCAGCCTCTCAGACGACTTTTTACCCCAGTAACTTAGACTACTTAGGTACCTTCATTATTCTTTTTCTCCTAGCAAGCAGTCCAAAACCCAGTGTCAGGACGACCACCACACAAGCGGCAATGATCGCTTCTATCGGTAAATCTGGAACCTTGTCTGTTGGGAAAGCAAATGCAGGAAGGAACAGTCAACTTCTAACTTACGTGTTTGTAATATGAACCAGGCATGGCCCCCTACACTTTGCATACACCACCCTTTTAATTAAATCCCCCTAACAACCCCAATAGATGAGGAATGAGGGTCTTCCAGAGGCTAGGTTACTTATCCAAAATGACAGAATTAACAGACGGCAGAGGCAGATTTTGAACCCATTCCTTTGTGAAAGAAGTTTCTGAAATATGAGTACCTCACCCCAAATGACCGCTCAGGCCATTTTGTGCTTTCTTTATTTTTCTGTTTTTATTTTTGCCACAGAAAGCAGAAGCAAATTTGAAGTGAATGCCTTCTCAAAAGCACAGAGGTTTTTAGGAGGACTCTCAGAAGGATAAAGAGAGGGAAGGAGGCTGGGAGAGCAAGAGGACAGAGGCGGAAAGGGCTCCCTAGACTAAGAAAGACACGAGGCACGGATGGGCCCAAGGAGCAATGCACACAGCGGTCCCGAGCTGTGTTAGTGCCCCAGGCAGATATGGAGACGTACGGAGAGGGGCTGCTAGGTGTCTGTAAGGAAGTAGAATTTCAGTCATCAGCCCTCCCAACCTCGGCAAAGATTCCCATGGCTCTCTAAACGACAAGGACAGTGAGAGAGCGGCGGCAGCCGGGACAGCTTTGGAAGTGAAGGCTACTCGTACATAAACTTCGCTTATTTGTATTACATTTATCTATGTGTGTGTGTGTGTGTAGGTGTGTGAGGGCAACTTGTAGGAGTCACTTCTCTCCCTCTGCCACGTGGGAAGCAGGGATAGAACTCAGGTTGTCAGACTTGGCAGCGAATATCCACTGAGCTCTCTTGTTGGCCCAAACAACTATCTTTTAAACACTTTCTTCCAATTATTTCTTTCGGTTCCTGCTCAGGATAATGCGGGGGTGTGGGGGGGGGAGTAAATGGATAAAACAGCCCTCATTTTGTGTGTATGGGGATACTAGGGATAGAACCCAGGGCCTAACACATGCCAAGCAGAAATTCTATCACCGAGCTACACCCCCAGGGCAGAGTATCCTCCGCTTCTGCCCCTTCTTAGCTCTTCTCCTCCAAATTATTCTCATGACGGTGTGGGTAGTGCCACCCCTCCTGAGAGGTTGGCCTGATGAGCCTTCTAGAAAACCCTCCCTCTATACTAATCAACTCTGGGATATACTGGGTTTATCACCTTACTGGAGACCTCTACTTGCTCACCAGGGAAGGCTATCAGAATGAAGTGTCCAGGAATATAAAAATATAACATTATAAACTTAAGGAATAAAAACTGACAGCCACTGGGCGATGGTGGTGCACGCCTTTAATCCCAGCACTCGGGAGGCAGAGCCAGGCGGATCTCTGTGAGTTCGAGGCCAGCCTGGGCTACCAAGTGAGTTCCAGGAAAGGCGCAAAGCTACACAGAGAAACCCTGTCTCGAAAAACCAAAAAAAAAACCCAACAAAAAACCAAAAAAAAAAAACAACTGACAGCCATCAGCTTGGCTAGGGGGGGGGGGGGGGGGGGGGGGGGAAGGATTAACCTTTAACTGGGCCCTTCCGTGTTTTACGGTTGGCAGATCTGTCAACATCCCAAATGTTAGTTTTCTTTTACTAGAGATTGCCCTTGGCAACCCTGGGGTTAGCTATTCTTTGATAATCCCCTACTACTCATTACTGAAACCAAAGTTAACTTTCAATAGTTGTTTCTACGTGATTCCCAGCATGCACCCCATGCCTGATACTATAAAAGGGGGCCAGCACCCGTCTCCATTGCCACAGCCCCAGAATTCCAACATTGGCTGGGGTCTCAGCTAGCCGATAAGCTTTTGTACCCCTCGGTGTTTTATAATTTTTTATTCTTTATATTTTCTGGAATAAAATTTGCTTCTGGTTTAATAGACTTCGGTGGTCTGTCCCCCATGATCGTGAGACCCCAGACCCAACAAGAACAGAGAGGAAGGGGCGATCGGATGAGGAGGAGAAATCAGAAAGCAGTCCCAGATAGGAATACCTTTCACCACACTGGAAGTCATGCAGCCACATGTGACCGGTTTCCTTCTACAAGCCAAGCCGAAAGCACCGACTGACTGGCTCACTTGGCATTCCAAGTTCCTGGTTGAAGTGACTTTGACACACGTGTGATGGCCTGCACTCCTCCCTTGTCCTGCTTTGATGTCCCTCTCCCTCAGACTGTTCTGGTCAGTTTCTAACATGTGTGCTCACTCTTACACTGGCAAAGGGCTTCAGGCCATTTCCAGCATCTCACAGCCCTTTAGAAACAACCCCCACTGTGAATCGGGGAAAGCCTGTGGGGAAAATTTGGCCTCAAGTCCCACTGAGCACCAGCAGCAGACCATGTGTGCTATAAAAGCCACACTGACAGCCTGGGAAGTAACAAAGCAAAAAAGAATAAGAGAACAAGCTGGGTTGGCAGAACTCCACCCAAAATAAGTTTCTGCCCACCTCAAAGGCAATGTGCTGATTGTCACACAAGCTGTGTGATTTAAAAAAAAACAAAAACAACAACAAAACCCAAACGTGGTTATGGAGCAATTATGCTTTCTTCCTAACCAAGAAGGATGCTATAATCACTCAGTCTCCAAGTGTGGTCTTATATCTAATTAGGATAGTACCGCATAAGGCTCACCCCATCATGTTTTTGTAAAGGTTCTGGGGAAGGTTAAAAAAAAAAAAAGTCACAAGCTTCAAGGTGGTGTCTGTTCCATTGCTTCTGCCCTTTGGACACAGGTTCTTTTGCAGGTTTTGTGGTTTTAATCAAATAGCCCTGAGGCATACTGTCGTTGCTCTGCAGGGCAAATTATTGAAAAACCCAGTAACCACAGTGATGGGGCAGTCAACTAACAGCCACTCTGGCTCCCACCGCCGCTGGGCTTGTATCCCAGGCTCCCCGGAGTGGGGAGGAAGAAGCTATGCTCTGGTGACATCAGTCCAGATAGGAGGAAGGAGCTTAGTTTGTTTCCCGGGAAACAGCAAGAATGGTGATGAGTAGGTCTGGTGAGTAATGCTCTAACAGGATGCAGGAGCCTCGGCTTGTTGGCCGCTCCCTGAATACCTGCCAAGACCAACCGTGTACAGAGGAATGGTGTGCACTGTGGCATCAGGCATTTCAATCTCCTCTTTGGGAAAGAAGCCCAAGGAGACTATGCCTATGGTGCACATACAGACACTCAGGTAAACACTCACACATAAAACAAAGTGAAGAAATCTTTTAAAAGGAGACAAAATCTAAGGAGACTACTTTCCAAACCTCACTGGTTCTCCGTGAGCACAGGGTGATAAGCTTGAGTGAATGGAGCAGAATGCCCTCTGATTAACCGTGTTTCCCCACTCCCTCTGCTGATCAGGCAACAGGCTAGAAGTCAAGAATTAGGAATGATTTCAGAGATTTTTAAAAAAAAATCTAACCCATGTTTTTCTTTTGTGTATTTCTGAATTCTCTTCTGTTACAGGCTGTGAACTCAAAAGGCTAGTTCCTGCACACATCAACACTGGAGGGAAGTTGTAGACACACCAGAAATGCTTTCTACCTTGGTCCCAGATCTCTGCTCAAAAGTCAGTGGTCTATATGAAGTGGGCATAATTCTTCTAAAATAGAATTTTTTTTTTTGAGACAAGGTTTTACTATGTAAGCCTGGCTGTCCTAGACACTTTGTAGACCAGGCTGGCCCTGAACTCACAGAGATCTGCCTGCCTCTGCCTCACAAGTGCTGGGATTAAGAGCATGGGCCACCACACCAGGCTTAGAATTTTCTTTTCTTTTTTAAAGCAAATACTCTACCACTGAGCTATCCCAGCCATTTGCAGTGCCCAGGATCAAACTCAAGACCTCCTGCACACAAGGAAAGCACCCTACCCACAGAGCTATAGTCACAGCCTCCAGCTCTTTTCCCTTTTTTTTTTTGATTTTTCGAGACAGGGTTTCTCTGTGTAGTTTTGCGCCTTTCCTGGTACTCGATTTGTAGACCAGGCTGGCCTCGAACTCACAGAGATCCACCTGCCTCTGCCTCCCGAGTGCTGGGATTAAAGGTGTGCGCCACCACCGCCCGGCTTCTTTTCCCTTTTTTATTCAGAGTATGATCTCACTAAGTTACCCAGGCAAGATTGAACTCACAGTCTTCCTCCCCTAGCCTTCTGTATAGCTGAGATTATAGGCTTGTGGCACCCAGCTCTGACTCAGACTAGAATTCCTAAAGAAATTCTCCTGGCTGGGGATAATTTTCCAATGAAAAATCTTAGCTGCAAAGCATAATGGTCACCACCATCGGCTGTCACTGATAATATTTCCTGAGCCGTCTTCTGAGTGATGCATCATGCTGAGCAATTACTTAAGAGGAATTACCTGTAACAACCAGGTGGAAGTCCATGGTCTCAGTTTTCAGGGACGAGCTAGCAACACAGCTGTAGACTCCGTTGTCAGATTTCTTGACTTTGGTGATGGACAACTGAAAAGATTCCCTTGTCTCTTCGATTTGGTGACGGCCTTTCTCTAAAACCAGGACGCTGTTGTTTTTATGCCATGTCATTTGCGCTGGGGGGTTGGATTTCACGTTGCAAACCAACCTTACATCCTTGTCTTCCCCTATGGTTTGGAAGGCATCTCCACTTAGAAGAGGAGGGTCTGTAAGACTCAAGCATTGAAGGTTAGTTAGAAACAAGCAGTAGTTAGTTCTCTGTCAGCAACTGGAGATCTCCCTTCCATCTTTCTCAGAGTATATTCACCCCTTAGACAAAAAATGTACGGGCCAGTTATTGTGTGCTAGGTACAGAGATAGTAACCGGGACATGAAAGTAAATGACAAGCATTCAGTTCCTAACTTCATAGAACTTCAAAGGTTGGAAAGATGACCGTGAAGGACTGGAGAGATGGCTCAGCGCTTAAGAGCACTAGCTGCTCTTCTAGAGGGCCCAGGTTCAATTCCCGTTGCTTCCATGGCAGCTCACAACTGTCTCTAACTCCAATTCCAGGGATCTGGTGGCTTCTTCGAGCTTCTGTGGGCACTGGGCACACACAGTAGACAGACAAGCATGCAGGTAAAATACTCATGCACATATAATAATAAAATAAAATGATTTCAATGTAGAGGTTTTTCCTAAAAAAGATATACCTAAAGCTGTATATGATAAGGAACATAATATATACATAATAATAGCTGAGCATGGTAACGCATGCCTTTAATCCCAGCACTTGGGAGGCAGAGGCAGGTGGATCTCTGTAAGTTCGAGGCCAGCCTGGTCTACATAGAAAATTTCAGGCTGGCAAGGGCAACGTAGTGCAACCCTGTTTCAAAACCAGTCCTTGCTCTCTGAGCATATGTAGTAATCTGATTGATACAAGGGTTGGCTAAAACAGTACAATACTAAAGACAGGCATGGTAGCTAGCAGTAATTCCATGCATGTCCTCTAGTGTGAATTTGTGACAGCTACTCAACTCTTCAAGTTTCAGTTTCCTCACAAAAAAATTAAAAAAAAAAAAAAAACTTGGATGATATTACCTTCCTGTTGCTGTGAAGATTGAGACAATCCCTGCAAAGAAGCTGATATCACGCTGACTACTATTACGAATGTGGTGGTGGTTTGGAAAGCTATTCACACCCTCAAGTTTTGCATTTTGTCTGACCACATTTGCCCTGGCCACAAATTTTCATTGGCCCAGTGGCCCTCTAAAAAGAACGTCCTGCTTCAGGAAAGCCTTCTAAGTATGGTAAATCTTGCCTCTACGGAAGCTTAATAAATCCTCATGCCTCTTCTCTTTCATCCTCCACAGCAAGAATTGTAGCTGTGGATAGTCAGACACATTCGTCTTCATCAGATGATTCCAACCCTCACCCACATCCAGGAGGAGAAATGACCAAGTCAGTTTTCCCTTCTTGTCTATGCCCTTTGTGTTTATTGGTAGATGTTCCAGAAATTAACCAATGGTTAGAGTGGGCAGTAAGGAAGGAGGTAAACCTGGAGAAGGAGGGAAAGGAGCTTGTATCATCTGCACACTGAATAATTAGACCCTGAGTGGGTTGTGTTATTAACAACTTTCTCAGAAGAATGACATTTTGTTGCTCTTTGGAATGAGCTTGAATTCTGTATCCATATCCAACAAGGGTGTTATGTGGTATTCAGACACACAGGAAGTTGCTGGAATAGAGAACAGAACTGCCAAACAATGGTCCCACTTTTGGACACATCCTACTAACCGTTCCCTTTAATCATTTAACATTAATGAATGTTTAAGCACCAGGCCCTGCTGCTGATACAAATTAATGAATAAAAGGTGCAAATACCCAAATAGAAACATAGTTAAAAGGCATGGGCAGACATTTCACAGAGAAGAAACATGAACAGTCAGTAAGTAGAGGAAAGGGTGAATATCCTCATTTTTAGTTCAAAAAATGAATAAGCGAGGTACAGTGGCTGATTTTGAAAGACTGAGATAGAGCAACCACTTGAGCTCGTAAGTCTGAAGCTAGCCTGGGCAACATTGTGAGATGAGAGACACGCATGTGGGAGGGTGGAGAATTTCACTGTGACTGGCAGATACTTGGTGATCCTGGGGAGATGCGGTAATAGGCATTCTGACGTTTCATATGGGAACTTGAATTGGACAGTGTGGCCGAATCAAGATTGGGACCTCAACTGTCACTTAACAAAATGCAGACATCCAAGGTTGACTGGCAGTTTCTTTTCCCGCCACTCACAAGTAACATTGAGCACCACGGAGACAGACACCTGCTGATCGCTCTGCAGCTTGCAGGTAAAGCGGACTCCATCGTCGTTTTCGCTGATGGAAGAGACACAGACAGAGCTGCTGTTGATTTTGTTTCCAGTTTTCAAATCTACTCTTCCATCTTCTCGGTACCAGAGGAGTTCTTCATCTCTGGTGTGGTTTTGAACAGCACATTCCAGAGATGCTTGGCCACCAGATGTGGTGTCCAGGACATAGTCCTCAGTTTGACCATTCACAGTTAAAACAGAACCTGAGGATATAAAAACAAAAAACAAACAAACAAACAAAAAACCAAAAAACCAAACAAACAACTGTTAAGATAGGAAAATGTCTAACCTAGATGTCCACCAACAGAGGACTGGTTAAATGAATTATGTTACATCAATGCAATAAAGTATACGCTCGACAATTAAAAACAATCATATAGATCTACTTGATTTTACAAGGAGATAGAAACAATGTTTTTTGTTTGGTTGGTTGATTGATGAGTTGTTCTCAAACTGAGGATCCTCCTGCCTCAGCTTGCCAAGTGCTAGGATTACCTGTGTGAGAGCATGATTATTAGCTAAAATAAGAAAAACGTTAAAAATTGTGGCCACCATATTTTGCGGCACATTGAAATCACCCGGAGATCTTTTACATCCTGGTGCTAGGCTCGTACCCTGACCATCTGATTGATTGGCAAGAGTACAACCTGGGTATTGGGGCTGTTCAAAAGCTCCCTGGGTGGTTCAAATGTACAGTGAAGTTTGACAACCACCAAGCTAGAAACAGTGTGTACAAAACAATTCCAGAGTGATCTAATAGAAAAAATAATAATAAATGGGATGTTCACTAAGAAAAGTCTTAGGAAAATATCATATATTTATATAGACTAAAACTGGTAAACAGAGGTAAAAAGCGGAGAAATATCAGGTTTTTTTTTTTTTTTTTTTTTTTGAGGAGGGTGGGTAGAGTAAGAATGCAAGGACTTGAAAAAGATTAGCAAAATGGAAAAATATTTAAAACAAAAGTCCAAAGGTAGAATACAAATTCCACCTCTAATAACTATCACAAGCATCAAAATTGGCAAAGACTTACTTAAAAATACTTTTCTTGCCGGGCGGTGGTGGCGCACGCCTTTAATCCCAGGACTCGGGAGGCAGAGCCAGGCGGATCTCTGTGAGTTCGAGGCCAGCCTGGTCTCCAAAACAAGTACCAGGAAAGGCGCAAAGCTACACAGAGAAACCCTGTCTTGAAAAAACCAAAAAATAAAAAAAAAATTAAAAAAAATACTTTTCTTGTTAGAGGACAGGAACATGGATGAATTTGTTCTTGCGTTTCTCATGTTTTGTTTTTTTTTTTTTTTTTTTTTTTTTTTTGGTTTTTCGAGACAGGGTTTCTCTGTGTAGCTTAGGGCCTTTCCTGGATATCCCGCTGTAGACCAGGCTGGCCTCGAACTCACAAAGATCCGCCTGGCTCTGCCTCATTTAAATGTTTAAATGACGATGATTTCTGAGGTAGACAAGATTTTGTAGGGTGCAAAATCAGGATCTGCAGCAGGTCTCTTTTGTTGTTTGTTTTTTGAGGCAAGGTCGCACTATGTAGCCCTGGTTGTCTTGGAATTTGCTATGAAGACCAGACCGGTCTCAAAGTCACAGAGATCCCCCTGCCTCTGCTTCCCAAATGCTGGGATTAAAAGCATTCACCACCACGCCCTGTAGGTTTTGGGTTCTGCTTTTTCGATCTGATTTTTATAAGTTTTTTTTCATTGTATAGTAATATATACCTGAATTTCAGTTCTTCTTTTCCTGGTTCAGAAGTTAGAGCTCTGGCTGCTGCTAGGCCGTCCCCCCAAATATGTGTTAACATAGCCTCTAACTTGACTATAAGTGTGCCAGTACCTGCAACTGTACACACTTCAGCGAAGGCCAGAGGACTCCAGGTGTCTCCCTCTGTTCTCTGCACCTTACTGCCTTGAGGCAGAGTCTCTCACTAAGGCAGAAGCCTTCCTCGGCTGGTCAGGAAGCTTTCAGTCTCCACCACCAGTCTCCACTCCCCAGTGCTGAGGTTACAAGGGCACAGAGACCTGCCCAGCTTTTACAATGAGTGCTGAAGATTCCGCTAAGCCAGCCACCCAGCCCCCTTGTTTTGGTTTCTGGTGTTTCACATGGAACCTGGAGGCTTTCAGCAGTTAAATATCCACTTTACTACCAAGCAACAGCTACAGCCTTTGTCTTAGCTTGTTTCTATCATGAATAAGTATTTTTAAAATCTGAGAGAAGAGAGAAGCCACTTTCAGGCAGAGATGGAGACAAAGATGTGGGCAATATTTTCCTAGAAGTGACGTGTTCAAATCGACAGAACATTATCTCTCTTGAAATTGGTACTAAAATATATCAAAATGTGAGAAAATTCTGACTACAGTTCTAGAGAGAATAGCACACTGCATCCTCTTGTACAACCAGAGCCATAAAACAGTATATATTTTTTTTTCACTTTTAAAAATGTTTTCTGAGCCGGGTGGTGGTGGCTCGCTCCTTTAATTCCAGCACTTGGGAGGCAGAGCCAGGCGGATCTCTGTGAGTTCAAGGCCAGGCTGGTCTACAAATCGAGATCCAGGACAGGCACCAAAACTACAGAGAGAAACCCTGTCTCGAAAAACCAAAAAAAAAAAAAGAAAGAAAGAAAAAGAAAAAAAATGTTTTCTGACTCCTATTGCCTGAACCATTGTATTGGGTAGCCATTCCAAAATGGAACTTAAGGTTGTTCCCGATGTCCATAGATTATTATTTTAACTAATTTTTTTTAATCTAAAAAGAAGTCATAGAGAATATTGAACTTACTTGTCCTCCCTTGTGGCAAAGATAAAATCACCAGGAGAAGTTTGCATGCTTGCAGTGGCCAGATGATCTTCCACACCATCCTTAATGAATGCAGGTTGGTTCTCCTGGAGGCAAAGAATGCAGTGGGTTCTGTACTTTGATCTCCAATGAGTTTATGAACTTTCTTCCTATTAGGCCCTTAAAATAAAGTCCCAAGTGAGTCACCCCAGCTGTAACATACACTCCTAGTTTTTAATTAAACAATTCTGATTAAGTTCTTTACGCTTTTAAGACTTTTTTTTTTAAATGGCAACAAGAAGAAAACTACAATGATATAGACAAGTTATCAGATGGCCTTGAAGAGGGAAAAAAAAATGGGCTGCCCTAGAAACAATGAGAAAACTGTCACTTTAACAGAAAGACAAATGAATTCTCTGTTCTCAGGTGGTCCCAACTGAGCGAAGTCATTCTTTTTGGAAAGTCTAACTTGCGTCACATTTGGAAAGCCGTTCTCCAATCAGAGAATTCTTTCAAAAGAAAATCTTTGTCTTATGTGTTTGGGCATCTTGCCAGCATGTATGTCTGTGTACCACTTGGTATCCAAGGAGGCAGGGAGAAAGTGTTGGGTCCCCTGGATTGGGGTTACATATGGTTGTTAGCTGCAATGTCGGTGCTGAGAATCAAACCTAGATCCTCTGTATTAGCAGCAAGTGTTTTGACCACTAAGCCGTCTCTCCAGCCCCTCATGGAGAGTTCTTGAGATAACTACAGATTCAAAGGTGTCCAGCTGTTGTAAACATGGCCTCTTGTCTTAATATTTCTTCCCCTTGGTCACATGTGGACTATCAAGAATGGATAGTCGAGGCTTCCTTTTCCGATCTTCTGCACATTGATGCTCCATCCTTCTAAGATATTTCAAGTCTGTCCGGGAAAAGCTTGTATACGCGATTTCCCTTAGAGCTAGGGGCAAGGAGTATATATAGCTCAGTAGTAGAATATTTGCCTCAAGTGTGCAAAGTCCCAGGTTTGATGCCCAAAACTAGAACTACAGCAGATGGACAGACAGAAAAGAAAAGAGTACTACTCCACATATGGCAGAAATATATCTGAAATGACTTCTAGACACTGTTAAACACTTCATATATATTTGTTCAATCACAACTAAGCCCTACAAATACTTACTTGTTTTGTTTTAAAACAGAGTCTTCCTTCCTTTCTTCTTCCTTCCCTCCCTTCCCCCCTCCCTGCCTTTTTAAAGATGGGGCTTCTCTTTGTAGCCCTGGCTGTCCTGGAATTCCCTATGTAGACTAGGCTGTCCTTGAACTCACAGAAACCCACCTGCCTCACCGGACTTCACTTTCTATAAAAGACAAGCTTGTCGCTTACCTGCTGAGCACTGAGCAGCTGACCTCCTCAGCTAACTCTTCCTCTGCCCAGGAACCCTGACTTATTTCCCTGTTGTGATCCTTTATAATGCTTGAATTTGAACACTTTATGACAGTGGGGTCAAGTAACTGAGATAAACTGGGTGCAAAGTCTGTTTCCCTTTCTGGATTCTTAGAGAAGACAGGAATTGGAAATGACATCTTCACAAGACCTAAGCCTTTCTGTGTACCTAGGTTACTGGGTGGGGCCAGATATTACTAACAGGGGTGTATTGTTCCAGGGAAGCCTGGACTTGTGCAAAAACCTATAGCACATCTCACCCGACACTGTCACCTCGACTGAGATGACTGAGCCTGACGATCTGATAGCTCGAGGACTGTGACCGGACAAGTCTCAGGAGAGGTTTGACTTTCACAATCGCCGTAACACTTGAAGATTTCACATAACTTAATTCTGGAAACTTTTTTTTATCATCAGTAACCTGAGCCCAGTGCTAAAGCTGTACCAAGCGACAAGAGACAGCTTTAGCTCCTCGAGGCTCTCTCTGGATTGAGGAACCACTGCCCGATAACTTCAAGAATGAGCTAAACTGATTTTATTGATGAAAATACTTAAGTTAGACTCAAGAAATGGCTCAGTGGGTAAGGTACCAGCATGAGGACCTGAGTACAGATCTCCAGAGCCCACATGTTGTTGTTGTGTTGTGGGTTCATGGAAACAAGACACAGCGCACCTTTAGGATGTCTCTAGCCTTTCCAGCTGCAAGGAGACTCAGCATCTCTCAGGACTGAGACACTTTCCCTTAGCCAAGGGCATTTTTATTGTTCTCCAAATTTACACTTAAGCAAGTTGATTTCCATATCTTCAAAACAACCTGACCGGCCTCCAAAGGGACAATGCCAAAGGCAAATACCCAACTAAGGAATATCACAGTTCGCCAGGGATTTTTCCCAAACAAGTTTTGCACAGGCTTTGTATCCTTGGGAAACTCTCAGACAAGATTCACATAGAGGGCAACAGGAGAAACAAAGGTAACTGAGAAACAAAGGTGGATTAAGGCTCGGTGCTGGCTCCCTGGAGCCAGGCCAGATATAACTCAGTGAGGATTCTCCTATCACCCACATAAAAGCCTGATACAGTAGCTGTAATCCCAGCACTCCTACGGTGAGATGGGAGGTGGAGATGGGGGGAAGAGACCGAAGGATCCCCAAAAGGCCACTGGCCAGTTAACTCCATATACAAGAGACCCTGTCTCAAACAAGGAGCAAGATGAGGACCGACATCCAGAGTTGTCCTGACTTCCACATGTGCATGGATGCTCATGCGTGTGCGTGCACATAGCCCCCAGCCCCCATACTTTAGGGTAGTATTACTAATGGACATTTTATCTGCCAAGTACTATTGTTCTCACTCATTAAAAAAATAGAAGAATGTTTATGATTATCCATACCCCCTCTTTTTCTGTTGCTGGGAATCAAACCCGGTCTTACATATATTAGGCAAGCACTCTACCACTGAGGTACACCCTCAACTCTCCCCATTTTTGTTTTGTGTTTATTTACTTATTTATTTTTAGGCAAGATCTCATACAGCCTAAGCTGACTTTGAACTCACTATGTAGCCATGGCTACTATTACTCCTGATCCTCCTGCCTCTCCACTCCCAAATGTTAGGATTACAGGTGTATACTACCACACTTGGCTCTTTGCATGTATTTTAACACATTGGGTAACCATACTAGAGATCTATTTCTTACTGACTGTGTGTGACTTTGAAAAGTTATCTAACCCCTAGGAGCTTTCAGTTCTTGATGAACACAATAGAATTAGTAATAGTACCCTCCCTACAGAGTCACTGTGAGGATTAAGTGAAATGGAGCATGTAAAGCTGCTTTACAGTAGGCTCTTCATAAGCTGTAATTATTATTGTTATGAAGATAGGCTGGTTGCGGCCCAGCCTTGCTCTAGCATTGTTCAAGTAAGGATCATCATCAAGAAGAGCTCCTGTTGGCTGGGTGCAACCCTCCCACCCCAAGCAGGCTTGTGGTATGCTTCTCAGCGGATACAAGAGCAGCGCATTCTACTATTATCATTGAAAGATGAATTTAGCAGGGCTGGAGAAATGGTTAAGAGTGCTTGTTGTTCTCGCAGAGAACCTGAGTTTGGTTTCAAGCACCAATGTCTGGCTCACAACTGCCTATAATTCTAGCTCCAAGGGATCTGATGCCCTCTTCTGGCTTCCACGAGTATCTGCACACAGCACACACCCACTTACAGGCACAAATAACATTTAAAAAAAAAACATTTTTAAACGATTTATTCATTCTTATTTTATGTGCATTGGTGTTTTGTCATGGGTGTCAGATCCCCTGAACTGGAGTTACAGACAGTTGTGAGCTGCCATGTGGGTGCTGGGAATTGAACCTGGGTCCTCTGGAAGAGCAGCTAGTGCTCTTAATCTCTGAGCCATCTCTCCAGCCTGACACAAATAACTTTTAAGAATAAATTTTGCAAAGGCCCGATGCCTTGGGTTTGGATCCCTCCAAAGCAGATCTTAGGATAAAGCTTTGAGTATAAACAGTTCCTCTAACAACCATCTCAGGATGCATCACCAGTGAAACGAGGAAAGGAGAGAACTCCCAAAGGATGTGCTGGTGAGCAAGTGACCACTGTGGAGCCTTCAATGAGTTCTGTGCAATACAGCCCAGAGTCGGTTCATGCAGGGCAAGGAGCTATTAGCCGTCAGTGTCTTTCCATCTTTGGTTGAGAGCCAATGCCTCTCCGGCACTTCCAGCCTGCCTGGTGAGCCAGTTTCAAGACACACAGGAAGTTACTCACTCTCTGGGAACTGTTTGTGGGCAACTTCTATGTAGGCCATGAGGATATGGGCAGGGCACTCGCAATTTCTGTACCTAGATATTAGATAATATTAGGAAACAATAGTTGATTATTCATAGGTGCGATAACAATGTTGCAGTTATGTGGAAGAATGCCCTAATTCTCAAGAGATGCCTGCAAACTATGTAGGGGTTAAGTGTCATGAGAATGACAACTAACTTTCAAAAGTTAGTTGAGTCAGCAAAAGCAGGACTGGGGATCTGGCTCAGTGAAAGAGTGGGTGCTTGCCATGTGCAAGGCTTTGGGTGAGATCTTCAGCAACACAAACAGCCAATCAACAGAATAAACACTGTAAATGTTAACTGACATTTACTGAATCCAGTTAGGGGGGTTATATAGATCTTCCTTTTAACTGCTATCCTTTCAACTTCTGTGTATGTTTGACAGTTTTAATACTAAAATGTTGAAGCAGTGTATTAAACAAGTATTTATTGAGTACCTATTGTTTACTAAGTATTTGGAATGCCAGTTCCATCCAAGCCCATTATGATGGCTCTGTCCTGAACAGTGTCTTCTCAAGTCCCTCTACTGCCCTCTATGGAAAATTGTTGAAGTAACTCTACAAAGCTCTGATGTCTCCTAGTACTCCCCAATCTTCACAACATTAAGTGGGTAGGTACCCTAGAGGATGCTCTAATGAGCAGGACAACTCTCCCAACTCCAAGGTGGAAATGACTCTAGTCATTCTAAAGAAACTAATAAGGAAGCTTGTGAACCCTGTAGAGTTTCAGGTGATGAGGAGGGATTTCCAACAAGAAAATGGTGGAACGGTGATACCCTATTCAGAGAGTCAGGGAAGTGATGTGATTGCCCAAAGTCATAGAAATCCCTGGAACAGTCCCCTCCTGGAACGGAGGGAAAGGAAAATCATCTTTCTGCTAACAATTAAGTCTAGAAGTTAACCTAA